TGCCCATGAAACCACAGTCACCGTCACACATCGTTCTTAAATCCATCACAGTACAGCAAACAAACCTGTTTATCCTGCACTAACCTGCAGAGGATTAACCTGCAACATTTAAATAACACAGTTAGTCCATCTCAGTTTGATTTGCAGATGTATCACAATATGAAAAAAGCCTAATGCCACATGTAGTGACCTGATATTTAATTAAAAAACATGAAGACTTCCATTTAAGCTTAAGATGTCCAGTTTATCAGATACAATTGAGCAGTCCTTACCCTTAAATCTAATCTCTCTTCTTCCTTTCCTGTCTCGTCTTTCTTATCTTTCTTTCTCCATCTCTTAGTGAAGTTAGCTCGCTTTCTTTTCTCTGCCTGTGAAATACAGCAGCACAGCCTATAGCTAGCAACACACTGTGCAACAAAAGGGGTAGTGACATCGTGGCTATGCACATCTTTTAACTCCAGTCCACAATCTGTTACTTCTAAATGTGACGTTATTTTTTAGTTGCTAACGTTGCTAACTGCTTGATAGCCAGAGATAGAGGCTGCACTGGCTTAGAAAATTAAAGTCCATTTTCTAAATCTTGGTCATAATCTGATTCAGAAAGGAGGATTACTCTCAGTATGTTCATTGCCTCATGACTTGTGATTGATCAGTGACAATGAGCGGATAATTTCACAGTTAAACTTGCCCTCGCTCACCACATCCAGTTTCAGAACACTAAGAAAGTGTTGGCAAAACACTCATCTTGAGATTTTAAGACAGGACTTCAAAAACCAATAGACAAAATCATAATAGCTACTTCTACATGTTAAAGTTCAAAGCAACTTCTCAACACTTTCCCCAGAACCTGTAAGCAAATAAACTGGGTTACTGGGTTTCTGCAGAGCATACCCTTGTGCATGCTGTTGCACAAAGCTGAATTTTGAGCACTCTTTGTATGTTTTTGTTTTTTAAAATGCATCTTGGGAAATGTAGTTAAGCCCCTGTGTGTGTACTGTCCATACTATTGAAGAAACTGGCTTTCTCTAACACATTCACCAGACATATAATCATCTGTTCATGCAGCAAAAATATACATTAATTAAACTAGTTCATCTAATTATAGCAATCGAGGTTCTTCCTCTTGATAAACACAATGGTAATCTTAGGTGGTTACATAAAAACAGTTGCAGAGAACTTTTGTTATCCATGCAGCAGTATCACTGATCATCTGGGACACCATATTTACACCTGAATGAAGGTGGCAGACAGTTCAGACTCCTTCACTGTTGCCTATAATGGGTTGTATTAGAGGAAGAAAGGACACAGAAATAGGCAGTCACACAGCTAATTGATTTTTCTTTGTTCCCAGCTTCTGAATCTGTGCAGCCATATGGTTTTCTGCAAGACCAACGCAGCTAAAGGCACGAAAGAAAAGATCTGTATCTTTCTGAATTGTCTTATAATGTCTCAGAGGAAAACTGCTTGAAAAATTGCCTCGTCTTTTCTATAGCCATATACAATGCAGCTGTGCTCTGAATAAAAACAGCTCCCACTGCAAGATAGATCACCTACAACATTAAAGCCACGGCACAGTGGAGTGAATAATACGAATCATCTCGTTGCAAATGAGTGTTCTGCTTATGTGCTGACTTATGTGTGCGCTATTTTGACATGTAGCACCCACCTAAGCATTGCAGACCCATCAGTGTAACAACACGCCCTGCTGCATTGCAAGAAAACACTCAGCAACAGTTTGATGAACACTACACGGTGAAAACTCTTCAAATCCCAATTCAATTAAGCATTTGAAGGGTATTCATGTCAAACTTTGGCCACAAAGAAAACCTACAAGACCCAAAAGACACTACAGGGTACTTCCAGAAGTCCCACATTCATTTTCTCCAACACACCCTGAACTTTCTTAGGCAAGTAGCCTTCAGGAATAGTTCTAAGGCTTCCTGATGGATATTCAAAGATCTTCTTTGGATGTTTGCTGCCTTTCGTTCAAGATAATCCCACACTGCCTCAATAATTGTTGACATCTAGGCTCTGGGGAGGCCAATCCATGATTGGTAGTGTTTCATTGTGTGTTTTTTCTATCCATGTTTGCTTGTTCTTTATTGACAGTGTGTTTGGGATTATTTACCGTTTTGGTTGCGCACCACACGGCAGCTTTCAGTCTCATGATAGCAGATAGAATTCCAAAGGAGTGACCTCCGTGCAACACACTTTTGGTGAAGAGCTGATAAATATTTTCCCCTCTGGCATCTATATTCTTTAAATTATATTCCTTTATTACATGTTTTAATGGCGGGTAGTGGAAAGCTTTGTCTGCAATATCTGTCTGTTGCAGGCAACAGCATCTAAGTTACAAGTTTTCACAAACCATTCGGTGACACGTGGAGAGTAGAAACCACCAGCATATGTTTGACAATTCTAGGATAAAGATTAGTCTGAACAAATTCATAATAATTGCAAATGGGAAGTGCATTGAACCTGGATTCTTTTTAACGACCACCAGGGGGCGATAGCTGCAGTTGCAAAAAAGGTTCATTCACATATTTTTTTTTACCAAGCTGAATAAAATATAAAGTCCATTTACTAAAGTTTGGCCATTTTGACTTGCAGAAAGGAGGATATCCAGAATATCAACTAACAACTTGTGACTGAGTGACATCAAAATGGCTACATCTATCATTTATACAGTCTTTGATGGTGCAAAGTGGACTTCTGCTTTTTATAGAGGTGCTGGATTCCGTGAGACAAAAAGCCTCAAGGGTTTATTTTTTCTTTAATTTGTCACCTGCCTTTATGCAGTTTGCAGACAAAACCTTGCGTGATCATACTGGCCTTTAATTAGCAGGAAGTATCGCTGTAACGGAGTTCCTGTTGCTTTCCCGTCAAAATACAGAACACTAGTGTCGGTGATCTGGCAGGAAGCGCCTGCTGCTGCTGCTTGGAAGCATCATTTGCATGGACTCTGACCGGAGCTAAAGAAATTATGCCACATTTCAGACTTTCACCTGCACCTTGCAATGAGTGAAATGACCCATGTTATTAGAAATAAGGCACAACAACCTTTCCATTTGGCATAGGACTAAAATATAATTTGAGACAAGCATTTATAGTCATACATTCAACAAATTCAGAAAAATGAAAACAAGTGCCTGAGTGTTCAAAAGGAAACGAAAAACAACAAAGGAGAGAATTTAATTCACATCAAATCACGCTTCCAGATAGTCAATACAGCAGCCAAACAGGCAATGCGATAGTGTTCAAAGGTACAAAATGTAGTCTAGAAGAAAGACTGACTTGTAGCATAATCTTAGAGCATCCACAGTCATATTTTTTTTCATACAGAAAACAGTATCAAACATTAGGCAAAGTCATCTCATGACAAAACCAAGAACATATGCATGCATTTATGTTTTTTTTTTTTATATAATATTGAGCTTGCATACAAAGGCAGACAGATTACAAAATCAAAATCACATGTCAGTTTTATTCATTACATATTAATCAGGGAGGGGGGGAGGAGAGGGACCACTGCTGTGTTAAGGAGTATATTGAGATGCCAGCAAAGTTTCACAGCCGCCTTGTGTCTCCCGTATCGATGCGGCTGAAGAGACTGTTAACACTTAAAGGAAACGGAGAGGTGAGGCCTGCTGAAATGCGTTAAAGATTTCATTCCCCAGCTTTGAAGGTGCGATATCACTTATCAAAATCAAATTTTTCCTCAAAATGAACGGAAGCAAGCGCGAAAAGGAATCTAATTATTCAAACAGCACTGTGTCATTAATGAAACTGGGTGAAGAAGGTCAAATAGTATAACAAATGGACATTAGAGCTGTTCTTCACAATCCAACAGCTGCAACTAGTGAGTTAAAATGATACGACTGCAAAAGCAGCCAGCCACATGGACAGAGTCGACATGCTCCTGAAAGAAAAAGCCCAAACATGCTGCTCCATCGCTTACAGTGACGTGAGGTAATGACAAAAAGCTGTTAGCTAAATTGCAAGCCTGACAGGAATCCCGATCGCTACGTGAGGAGTATTTGTGCGCTGCTTCTGGGTCACCAGCCTGTGCACGGTGGATGAAAGCCGGGTGTGGTGGAGGACATGCATAAAAAGGGTCGTACTGGGGAATCGAACTATATATGGCATGCATCCCAACCTGGTGATCTGAGGTTTGAGTCCTGGGATTCAGGACTGCACAGGGACTCGGGGTAAACTTTAAAGTGGACCTGCTATGCTCATTTCCAGCTCAGTATTTTTATTTCTGGACTAGAGAAGCTCTGAATGAATCGTGATTCAAATCAATGCTTTTTTATAGGTCGCACGTTGAATACTGATTGGTTTAAAAGTGGGCCTGAACAGGAATGGGAGTGAAAGTGGTGTTCATCACAAATGCAAAAAAAACACATCAAAGATTAAAAAATGTTGCAAGATAGTGCCTGTAGTGGCCAGTTTTAACTGTTTTTAACATTTCAGCCCCTCTTTGTGTATCCAGTGGTGAAAGTTTGTTGCAGCCTTAGCCACGAAATACAAAGGCGCCCCTTTAGCTGTAATTATAATTATCATTATGCTCTAAAGAATTTGACACCACCAACGACAGTGTGGTCACGTGGATGGGCTCTCCATCTGTCATTACAGTCTTTAAACATCGGCACTGCTGTAGTTTAAAGTTTGTCTGCTCTCGCGGGGCATGCATTGTCCTGCCTTGCCAGGTGAAACACCTCTGGTAACAACACAAGCAAGACCAGCCAACAGACTGTGCTGTGTCACTTATTTCTGACACTGCCCCCTAGTGGCAGTGCACAACTACAACATGTCATCAGTAATCGTAAAAGCGGTGCTTAGGCTCCGTATGGCAGCGGTCCCCAACCTTTTTTGCGCCCCGGACCGGTTTATGTCCGACAATATTTTCAGGAACCGGCCATTAAGGTGTTGCGGATAAATACAACAAAACAAAATCAGCACCGGTAACAAAGAAAACAAGATTTATTCATAACACACGGGAAAAGACCCAGGGAAACCGAGTTAACAAAAAAAACCCGATCAAAAAATAACGCTTAAAAAACCCCGATAAAAACCCTAAAAACCATAAATTTCACGGTCCGAGTCCCGGGGGTTGCTGTATGGGACCCAGGCACAAACATACCAGTCTGTTGAGCCAGTGGTTCTCAAAATGAGGGGCAGGGCTCACTTGTAGGGCACAGAGCCACTGACCACAAGACGAAATGACGTGCATCTAACTTGAATGAAAATTTGCAGGTCAACCAAATAAGCAAGACTTAGCTAACATGCTAACACTTAAAATGACTGATTAAAAAAAAAGTGAGAATATAGTTCTCCTGGAGTTTGGAATATCAGAAACCAGCTCACGTAGGATTAGCTTCCCCTTCAATCACACAACCAGAGCTGCGCCCAGTGACCAAATTCGGGACTTACTCTCTTTATCCTGAAATACCCCAGAATGATGTCACATCATACTTTCCTGAAAAACAGGAATGAAATTGGCTCACAGGAATTACCTGCACGCATGCTGGGCTCAGTATTTGAACCTTTGACCATAATTAATACGAGCAGAGATCATTGGAACAGTATGTATGTGACAGAAAGCGAGGATAAGCATAGTAGGTCCACTTCGACAAAATATATTAAAATTAAAACAATCATAAGTCATTCAAAGTAAAATGTTAACTCACTTAGAATTTTTTGAGTGAGATAAGCCCTGGTAGTCCGCTGCAGGGGAGTGAGTTCAACCATCTCTATTCCCAGATACGTGTGCTCAAATACAGAGCTTCAGATCCGACGTATGAACAATATGAACACTACAGAGCACTAAGGTGCAGGACTTACTGTGGAATAGAAGGGGTTAAACATGTACATTCTGTTTGATACATTTCTAGTGGAGGTGCTCACATAAAAAAAAACAACAATATAGTAACAATACACATACACTGCTAGTATATTAAAAATGCTGCCCTTCTCATCCGTGCCCGTCTTAGCGAAGGTCGCATTGCACGACTGAACGACCGCAGTGACTTCAGCCAAAGAGGGCGCGTTTGCCCGTTTAGCAGCAAACTTGAACTTCAGCAGGAATAGGCTGTTGTAAACAATACATGCTTTTTGTGTTTTAATTTCTATTTTTTCTCTTTTTAAACATTTGATGTAAACTTCCTGTTTTTGAAATTCGGCCCTTTTGACAAACAGCAGGTACATTTTCATCCAGCTGAAAATGCCATCAGCGAAACTCATTTTCAGTAGTGTAAACAATAAGCTGCACACACACACACACACACACACACGCGCACACACACAATAGAGCTTCCCAATCAGGTGGCATTGTGGCTCAACAAGTGATTTTCACCAGACGGGTCACCCACTGAACTTCATTCTGTTGTTGATTACAGCTGCACTCAGCTTTCCAACACTGAAGCACGCTGTGTGGCGTGACGGCTGCACATAGCGACTGTGGATGTTTCTTATTTTCTGCATGAAATATGACCACAGAGCATCAGAACAATGAGATTTTTCTGCCTATATTCATATCCATGCAGCTCCTGGATAATCACAAAACCCTACAGTATCGTTACTATTCTGTGTTTTTTGCACTTGTCTAAGTGACCATCTGCCTCAGATTGACTCAGGGGCACTTTGCTGTTTGCAGTTCGAAAGAAATGTAATCATGCCCTTGACGTTTGAACCCATTTTCTTTCACTCTTAAGAAGTCTCAAACTTAAGAAGTTATTTTTGACCACAAAGAAAATCCAGCTGATTGAAAACAGCGCTGCGGCCTTGTACCCATGATTCACCTCTCAATTATATTATAACGCTCACTGGTTTCAGTTTTTCTGATTTTTTTGAAGTCTGGATGGGATGACTGAATGGAGCAAACACTTGCAGAGCCTCGATCCTCGACCACAAAAGTCAGCAGATGACGGGTGGAACGTAATCGGTGGTTGGTTCACATAGTTGGTGACATTTTGTCATGTCTCATACAGAAACATGCAGGGATGCCATGAATAACTGCTGTAAAGAAGCCTAAAGAAGGAATTTACGTTCAACGTTTGCGTATTAGTTCTTTAACCTCTTGTTTTAACCTTAAAGGAGAGCATCAGTTTTTACATGGCTTTAAAGCCAGGCTTTGTTACCTTAGTAACCCAGTGTGCCTTAGATTTCAGGGACGGGTTAGGGTGGTTGCTCCAGTTGTGATACTGCCTATCGAGGCCTCAACATGCTTCAAACAACGATCCCATCTTTATATAATTATATGTAGCAGCCATATTAACCTTGTTGTTTACACGTGCGTCTTCAACAATGTAGCTAAAAAGTCTAAAGAGCTTTAAAAAAAAAAGAAAGAGGTAACTGGACTTCTTCAATTCTAAAAACAAAAGGTCATGTGATTTATCACGAATCACAAGAGGGTCGGTACCATCATACTTTGGCCCAACCCATCATGTGACCATCATGTGACCTATTGAAGTCAAACATCTTCACAAATTTAAAGAAGTCTAGTTGTCTCTTTTCTCAGGCTTTCTACACTAACGTGACCTGGATGACTAAGAAGCTACACAGACACATTGTGCATGCCTGGTTTAAACACATCTGTGCCCTCTAAGTTTGTCTCCTTTTGAATCCCTGCGCTGCTTCCAGGACTTTTTGTAGAAACTGTATTTGATATGCTCGCTGGATCTTCTCCACTCCCTCAAAATGACGACCATTGCCTTGAATTTCACTATAGTGAATTTGGCAAGAAGTACGATTCTGTTGTTGTGGCTAAAAAACATTAGCGTGTGAAGAAAAACACTAGAGGTGAGGCTGTGTCTGCTAAATGTTCTTCCTCAGACTCTTTGGGAGATAAAAAGTCACTCTGTTTTAACTGAATTTTACAGTGCAAAACCCTATGAATGTGAAAAAAAGCTCAATTCAGACCTGATGCACCACCTTTGGGCCTTTTCTTCTGTTATACTACTTAGATTCTTTGTTGTAACCAGAGATAGGCACAGTTACTGTATATCGAGCCCATGATGTGCCACACTGGGATCTGGATCTTTCTCAAGTTTCTCACCCACATCTTCCAAAGCCGAACCTTTCATATGATCATTGCTCTCTGTCACGGTGAAAGTGAATGATACACTCTCAAATGACAACTGCATGGCAGGAGTCTCGCATTCAGCTATCCATCGTTGCTGATATTAATTGGGGAGCGTGTGACTGTCTCTTCATGTTAGGCCTATGATGGACTCACACGAAGGGTCCAGGGTGTACCCAGCGCAGCTCCAATATGACTTGTAGTTGGATAAGCATGAAAAAACAAATGGATGCCATCTGGTGCTGTGATGAAATGTGAGTCCCACATATTACCCACAATTAAAAAAAGGTTTTCTGCTTTAGAACTGCAAAAAGCAAAACATATTTTATTAACTTATGGTTTAAAATAAGTGAAACTATCTTTACAGAATAAAGTTAGTGAGTATTGGAGGGCATTGTAACTCCTTTCTACTTAAGACTCACTCTCGATGTGTTTGCAGACCACTTTGCATTTACTCATTAATCTCTGGTTTCTTCCTGTTTAAAGGGAGTTCTTCCTTCCCATTCTCGCTAGTGTCACTCTACTTGCACATTGGGGGCATTCTAATTGTTAGAGGTTGCTGTTTATTATTGTAGATTATTTGGCTTACAATATAAAGTAGCTTTAGGCAACTCTTGCCGGAACCCAGCTCTCTTTCTCTGTGGAGTTTTTGCCTTTACACAAGCTTCACTATTAACTCTATCAAACAAACAAAACAGCAGTTTTTTAGTTAGAGTTATGGTTCAGACATGGTTTGAAGCATAATGAGACCTCAACCTTTAAAGACTGTTCTCCATAAACTACACGAAGTCTCTATGGCATTGCTCTCATCTGCCCAAATGGAAAATACATGCTCCAAATCTAGAACTTGTATTAGTAATACGAAATATTTGCTACATCCTTTGTTAGTGTATCCACTACTTTAAATCCTAAGACTGCTCATAGCCATGAAATTGAAATCATGAGGTTTTTCCTGTGCAGCTTTATGGATTAGTGGAAATTCTTTAACTGCTGTAAAAGATCTCATCAAATAGATTTTGCTTCTTTTATCTTCCACCGTTCATACAAGAATCCTTTAAAGTCAACACTACAATCCCTGTCAGTCATCTTGTGGATTGAATTTCTCTTAAAAACATGAAATGAGCAGCGGTGCAACCTCCTTTCTGTATGTGTGAAAGTGTTGTTGAACACAAACATGAGATGTGTATGTTTTAAGCTCAGCCCTGTGGAGAGGAAATACTGTGTATTCCCAAAGAGAGGCGTCTCAGGTCGATGCGGGCAACACGAGGGCGACCCAGAGAAGACGACCTGGGTGGAGAGGACGGGGAGGATGCGGGAGTCCTGGTGCAGCCGGCGAACAGGTTGGACGAAGGATTGTGTGTGTTCAGTCATTTAATGAACCGGGTAATTCATTGGTCAACGTGTGCCAGCGTTCAATTTTTTTGTCCTTGTTTTTGAGGCAGTCAAACCAGTGCTTGAGCCTTTCTCCATTTGCATTGATACCCAGAGATACACCACCTAAAAGGAGGCACAAACACAGAATGAGTTCTTATTAAAAAGACAGGAGACTTATAATGCATCACATTATAATATCAGTTTATATTCTTAGCATCATAAAACAGCTGAAAAACAATATTAAAGATGAAAAACCTTTTACAAATTATTTATAAGTTGGTTTACTAAAGAGAATCGGTTATGTTCATTTCCAGCTCTGTGTGTTGCATCACTGGACTTTGCACGGCTCACATTAAAATAAAAATCCTTATATGTTTATCCTATATTAAAAGTTACAGCACCCTCCAGAAATTTATGCCAAATGTAGTGCTGTCCATTATGTTTGAACATTTAGTCTCATATGGCCAAAGAACGTTGTTACAATAGTCTTTTGGTTTATTCGGATGTAACTTTGCAAACCTGAGCCGTGCTGCCATATTATTTTTCGAGAGAAGAGGCTTTGTCCTGGAAACCCTACTTGTTCAGTCTTTTTCTAATGCTACAGTCATGCACTTCAGCAGTGAACATGTTAACTGAGGCCTGTTGAGTCTGAGATTTTTTGCAGCTTCTCTGTGCGCTGCACAATCCGACCTTGGGGTGAATTTGCTGGGACGTCCTCTCTTTGGAAGATTGTCTTATTGTGTTAACATACATCTGAATGCTGCAGACCAGCAAAATTGCCAAAGCTTTAACAGAGGTGCTCACGCGAACTGATGATCGGTTGATTTAGTGCATTTGATTAGCACTTAGCTGCTATTTACACTTTATATTCCTCTGGAAGCAGTGAGGACGTACTTAGCTTTTCACATGACTGCACAGAGTGCTGTGAAAACTTTGTCACAGTACTGCAGATACATCTGAGGTCTTGTGTTTCCCCTGAGCTCCAAAGATCTGATTGGCTTTTTATACAGACAAACAGGAAACAGACGATTCCAGCTGTGATTTGAAAGCACAGGACATAGCACATTTTTCAAAATGTGATCATATATATTGTGATAATGTGTAAGTTCATTATGATTTATCATATTATGTGTTGACTTGTTATATTACATTGTTTTGGGGGGTTTATTCATTATGTTATTATATTAACCTCAGTTGCTACATCTTTTTGAGTTGGGCCTCGTTTAATAGCTACTTCTTTAGATTTCTTTACCCTTTTTTGGAATTTATGGATAATGTTACAATTATTCTTAAGACTGTGAAATATCCACGCCACACAATCACAGCTTTTCCATCGCCCTTAAAAGTCTCATTACACAACAAACACACAATCCCACCTGTGTTGATCTCCATCTTTTTGTTGTAGCAGCAGTTCGTTTGTGTTTGCATTCCTTTTCATGTTGGAAATGCAAACCGAAACAAGTCCTTAAAAACATGCAGACCCCAGTAACCCTCAGGGAGTCTCAAAGTGTCAGCACAGTGAAGCCCAGCACTGCTTACCTATGAAGTCATTCGACTTTCCAATGTCGTAGTCCCATACGGTCACCTCCAAGGTCTTTTTGGTGAGGTCTGCATATTTTATGTCATAACAGAACTCCTGCAGAAAATAAAAGAGGGCAAAATAAGAGCTCCACAATTTTCTCTCTCAAAACACATGATTAATAATACCTCATCTTTTCAGATCACCACGTTGGGGCTTTAAGAGTTTATTTATTCTGATGGACCATCGTCACACACACACAAAAACACTCTAATGTGCAGTTTTTCGGTTTGCATAATTATCAAAACAATTCTGAAAGCTTTTGTTTCATTTCCTGCTGAAATTCATTCAGAACGCCTCATTAGGTTTTAATATTTTGTTAGTGCCTTAAACAAGACGCTGTTTAATCTAGCTCTTCTCGCTCTAATGTTTTTTTCAGTCACTACATAACCAGACTCATTTTCGTTAGTTAAGGAAACTCACAGCACAGCAAAGGTGTCAACGTATCTTAAACTCAGAGCGGAGGAAATTAAATGCGGAATACATACACGGCTTCTGTAACAGCATGACAGTGTAATCGATACAGTCCACTGTCCACTAAATGAAACAAGCATTTTCTTCTGAAATCAATTTGCAGTTTGCGAAGCAACAATCTGCGGTTCAATCACCTTAATGAAACCAGAGCCTCGATATGGAGGAGGACCTCATTGCTTGTCTCCAACGGAAAGGCCAGGAGGTGATGGAAGAGTATGGGCGCAAAAAAATGTCAGAGGAAATGTCAAGTCGCTGGCCTGTGTGAGCGTTCGGCTGGGGTACGTCCACTCGTATACAAGCAGAAACGTCCGAGCCGAGCTGCCCTGTGGCCCGTTCAGCCTCAAAAACATGTTTGGCATTCTTGTTCAAAACGTGGCCGAAGCAGCACCTGTCTGATTTCAATACAATTTAAAATCAGCCATGAAGGGAGGTGTTTGGCTGTGAGACTGAGGAGCTCCGGCTCAGCTAAGAAGAACATAAAGGTTGATTACTTAAATTGCTTCCTTCACGGTCAAAGCAGCGGTATACAGCATGGTAAAGGTCTGGAGGCAATGCAATAGCGTTCAAAAATATATTAAGCTCCCTGTTTTAACAAACATTATTTACATTTTTGGACAACTGGGCCAGAAATACTGACTTGCTTTTATAAACTAAAACGCATTGTCCTCTTAACTCTGGCTTTTCAGCTGCTAAATGTTTGCAAAGTACTCACAGTTGCAAACTACAGTTAAAAGTTAAAAAAGTTAATTGTACTTTGCAACTGTCAGTACAGTGCCAGTTTTTACATACATATTATAATCTTACAGCCATCGTTTATGATGTTTATGTCCATCATAAACGATGGATATGAGTACCAATAACAGACAAACTAGGCAAAACCCTGGCAACTGCTGTCACTAGGTGAGACTAGTTGAAAGAGGGTGATGCATAAAAACCTTCTTGGACACTAGAAGATTGCTGTGGTTGTCTGCAGTTTGCATGGAATGACGGTGACGTGTCTGGAAACACTGATCAGCTACTTGCTGAGTGGCAGTGAAACTTGAACTTTCAGAGTAAAGGTTGTGCCTTAACATTTCTAAAGGTGCAACTTTTACTGTCGCTTGGTGAGTAGTTGGCAAGTGTTTGCAGACAGCTTGGTGTCTTCCATACAAATTAAATGTGACAATACTGATCTGCAAGTGACCACAAACACCACAGGGAGGCTTTTGGTGCAGTACCATACTGTATGTCTCTCTTTGGAACCAGTTTCACCTATTAGCTACCAGCAGGTAGCTGACTGGTCTCTAGACCTACGGGACTAAAGCACACGGTGTCTCATGATGAAACCGCCATCGCCATCTTGATGTTTTGAAGCCTCACATTTTCTGATACACTTCTATACAACTTGAAGCCTTTTTACAACCCCATGGGGGTTAAAACAATGTAGATGTAATGTAACAACAATGTAACAACAATGTAACAATGTAAAACAGACCCCTTCATGTTGGTTTTACTTTTTAGGTTAACCAAGCTTGTTAGTGTTAGCTGTCAGCTTAGCGCTCTCACATCAAAATATGCCCACTTATAGATTCAATAAACCAAAGGAGTGTTTATAGTTCTAAAACCAAGCCGACAAATGACTGGGTTATATCATTGTTTAATGTTTTTACCATTAAATGTATCAGGTTAGAAACTATATTTCTTATATGTAATATTTGCAATAAAATATCAGAATCCTGAAGGCATACACTATGAAAAGGGAAAAGGAGAAGACAAACTACAGGTTTTATAAAATCTGAAGGTTTGCCACTATAAAGAAAACTTTTACATTAAATATGAATTTTTCTCTCTTATTATTACCACTGCAAAAAGTATTTATTGGTGCAGATAGAGCCATTAAAACTTTATTTTCAAAGCTTCAGAGCTTCAGGCATTGATAAGACTAAACAGTCACTTAATAAGTTAACCAGTCAGTAACTTGGCTCATTGGTTTTTATAAGGGAAGATCAATAGAAGTTCAGTCCTGATAAAATGCACCTGAGTTTTAGCCCGTCTTCAGTGGTAAACACTTGGCTAAACAGGACTTTAATTATTTAAGTTATTTTTTGGTTCTGCAGCTTTTTAAAAAAGCCATCTTGTTATGAATTAAGAAAAATTCCAACAGTGTTGCCCTGTCAAAGTGGCTTTTGTTGGTCCCAGGGTTATGAAGGTCGCTCAGCACATAAAGCACCAGATAAAGCTCAGGCAACAATAAACAGGAATAAAATAGAAAGAAATGCTGCAAGGTTTAGCTGTGGTTTATACCTCATTGAACTCAGGATTGAGCGTCTTCTTTTTCACAGCAGTCTTGTGCTTTGACTTTTTGTTCTCATCTGGCTTCAGATACCTGCAGGACAGAGAGGGGAGGAAAGAGAAGAAGATTTAATACAATTTTCTGATGCTTATATTTATGAGTGAAACAGCAAAAATGAAAATATTACATATCCCTGCAGAGCACACGGTGCTCATGTGTTATTTGAAACCACCATCAGTAATGTGAAGCCTCACACAGTGGTCAGACAGCACACTGTACATTTCTCAGCTGTTATATTGTTCTGTCCTCCAGGGGGTGCTGTGGGACTGCCCTACATTCAACCACACAGCTGCATTGCATTACACTACACACACACTAAATCACTACATCATCTGATTTTTAGAAACTCCAGATTTTATTAAGGCTTTTCTTTTCTCAGCTTGCAATCCAAAGACCTTGTGGTGCTTTCCCCTGCAGCTGCAGTCCCACTCTATCAAGACTGATGTCCCACACGTGGTTAGTTAAACAATAACATTTCACTCTAGTGTCTGCTTGATGAGATTACTGTGGAGAAGACATCTCACCTCATAACAAAAAGACATTTCCAAAATCAGTCGGTACTCCTGCGCATTACTGCAGAGAAGGTCTCCAGTCTCTAGTTTATTTAAACCCTTCATCTCAGATTCTCTGTGTGAGGTTTCTGGATGTTGGTCATTTGTTCCTATTATTGGCTTTCCAACCTTTTTTGGGGGAGCTTCTGGGAGTCATACCACACTTCACTTTGCTACACCTTAGACAAAACTAATTCATGTTTATTTCTTTAGGTTTTTAGAGAGATTAACATTTTAGAGCCTGTGATATGTACTGCTGTTACTGTGACTCAGGCATGCAGCAGTAACCTATAAACTATTCTCTGCTGACTGCCAAAATCTGGGGGCTTCCAGTGTAGCCGGTGGATATGGCGGGGTAAAGCTTGCTGTGCTGTGTGTCGGTGACACATTTTGAAAAGTTAATAAACTCCTTTTTTGGCAAATGCAGTGCTTCATTTGGCCATCACAGGGACTGTTTACCTGCAAGAATCCAAAGCCAGCTCAAATGTGATTTGTCAATAAAGCTTGAGGACTGCAGAGGGAAAACTAATTTTCCAGTTTCAAAAACTCTCTCGTTTTATAGCTGATAAACACAGTATAAATGGCCAGTAACACTTTATAATGTGGCCTCAACTCAGGGGTAATTCCCCTGTAATGTAATGGAATATCAAGGTATTTTATTTAAATTACAATGTAATTTATTGACCCACAAATATACTAAGCCAGGTTTTTGCAGGACAAAAAAAGAATTATTTTGAAGTGTTACCAAATTAACTTTTTTATTTAAAAAGATAATTTTCATACACATTATTCTGCCGATGAAGGGAGGGAGCATGCAATCGTTCTGTTTGTTTGTGTGTCTCTTTATTAGCACTCCAGGGTCCACAGTTTCAACATATCATGTTCAGATTTAACTTTACAAAAATAAGCTTTCAAGAGGGGCAGAGATGTAATCTGATTACCTTTTTCAAGTAACGAGTGATTAAAGGGATTACTATTGCAAAAAAAGTAATTAGATTACTGTTACATTCACCGTAAGCATGCTGCGTTACTAAACCGTGGTTTTGTTTGTGAGAGTGTCTCATGACAATGACGTACAAGCGTGCGACGTGCGTGGCAGCAACAGACGTGTGTAGATCAACAATGGATAATATGGAGTGCGGGAGAGAGTACTAGCATACAGCATTTAAAGCTCGGAAGTACTGACATTACTTTTAGCATATATAATTATTTTTTTAATATACTGAAATATGCAGAAAATAGGTTTAAATGTTAAACAAATTTCTTCCAATCAAAGACAGTTGCATATAATTTAATTTTTGCTTGATGCAATGTGCATAAAGTAACATAAAACATAAAATCAGTAACATAATGGATTACTTTTTTGGAGAAGTAATCAGTAATTAGTAACTAATTACCATTTTCAAGTAACTTGACCAACACTGCTTGGGGGACATGAGCATCTTGGCTGGCTAAGCGTTCGACCTTGACCTTAATTGTTATGGCCAAAGGTCATTATGAGTAATATATCATAAGAAGTGTCATGGAGAGAGTTGCACAACACCCTATGATGTTACAATGAGCCATGACAGGCTGATGTCATCAAACTGTAATAAAATTATAATAAAGGATCAAAGTTTTGACTCTCGCCCTTCAGTGATACTGCTCTTGTTTACACTATGTGTTCTTTGTTTTCAGTATTCCAATGACATTTATCTGATTGGTATACATTCAGTTCATACCAAGCACACAATGTTTAATAACTGGAATAAATAAACTCATTGTTGATTTGTGTTTATTGAGGGTTAAGAATCATTTTTGAGTGTAGATTTTAAGGAATAGTATCATAAAAGAGTGTGTAATGTGGCAATTGGATACGTAGATAACAAGATAAAGAGCAGATATATAAGATAAAACAGTAACTGCTCTGATACTTTGTTTCTTTTAAGTAAATTAAAAACAATTTAATACATTGTGTTTAGTTTCAGTTGATAGTTTTGAGTTATATACAAATGCCAATCCATGTCCAAATGTATCAGTGTACAATAATAAAGTTAATATGTGCACAATTTTGCACCTTTTTTCTCTCCACCCTTTAAAAAGGTAGATTTTTGTAACTTTTAGATTAAAGAGCAAAACTGGCAACTAAGACTGGTTTTGAAAATGAAGGCTACAAATATCAATAACAAATTTCCCACGTGTGGGACTAATAAAGGTTATCTTATCTTATCAATTACAAGAGCTCCTGTCAGGGGTGAAAAGGCTGTATCTTAGAGGGAAGTGCTCCAGTAACAAGCTTTTTCACCCTAAAAGTTACAGTCAGGCAGTATTTTCTTAGATGTCTTGTTTTCTTAGTATATGAAATGGGTGAACGCATTATTTAAAGACTCTCAGCATAACAGTTTAACAACTAGCTCTAAAACTGCTCAGAACATCATCATAAACGAACATGTTATGTTATTTTAGACTCCATTATCCTTGTTGAAGTGTATGTACCACACAGAAAATTGAGAGTATGTTGTGGAATATGCAAACGAAATTAAACTTCATATTTATTTAAATTAGCCGAGGCGTTCCTGGCGTGCTCACAAAATGTAACAATGTGCTTATCATTTTCAGTTTGCATTCGCTGCAGTTTGTGAGTCAGAGGAGAAAACAGGGCCTTAGTGCTGCTGTTTCTCTGGAAAAAGGCGTGTGTGTGTGTGTGTGTGTGTGTGTGTTCTGTGTGTGTGTGTGTGTGTGAGCGAGTGAAGGTTAGACCTTTGCTTCTGTTCTGTTTTCATAAATGATGCACAAGGCAACTTGTACTTATCTCAAAACCAGCATAGTGCATGTTTTTTAGCACCTCTGTGCTTTTGGCCAAGAACAGTTTTTGGGTGGTATTGCTCATTCTGATGTGGTATATTTCATTGCAATTACAGTACCTCATCACATCCCTCTCTTCTGTTATGTGCCCATTGGACCCTCACAGACTTCAATTTCCCAAGGTAACAAAGAGACTTAAAGGGAGGCTAAGTGGGTTATTCCTCACAAGTGTACCCCAGAGGGAGTGGAAGCTGAAATTGTTGATGAGGACACTGCGGCGAACCTAATCGTTATCACGTAATGGGATTACTGACCCCCTGGCAAAAAAAAATCTAAGGGTGAAAGTTATGATGCAAACAAAGCAATTGTGCAATATGATGACTTTAAATATTTCCCTGTGTGCGTATGCCATGATTGTAGAGTACAACTATGCCTATGAGTTTTAAAATATACTACTCTTTACTTCAAAGCCGATGAAATGTACTTGTCATTGACTGAATGGCCATTAAAGACTGTAAAGTACTCCACTACCTTGTTGACTAATGCGTGTCTGAATTCTACTTTCGCGCAATTTCCGAATATCCCTGACATTACCAGCACATTAGAGCAAATGGCTTAACGTTCATTGACAGCTGTGACTTGATCCTTCAGATAGACACTTAGAAGAAATCAGGTAGCGACAGAGAAATCCTGTGGCGCCGTTTATGTGTCAGATTATACATTTTCTTTATTCTCCTTCACGTGAATCAGTCAGTAAATCTATTATCAGCCTCGGTGTCCTTCAAGCTTGGGGAAGATTTTTTTCCGTCCTCTGACGGTTGGAAAATTGTTGCCGGTCCCTCTCCACTGAAACGAGTCGCGCTTTTGTTCTCGAGGTGTGCACAGCAGAGTCGGAAATTAATTGCACTTTCATTGCTCAGCCAGATGAAAGACTTGGGAAATGTTTGTGTGATAAACAGGATTGTCCTTCGAATTGTAGCCTGTGGATGGCACAGGTAGTGTAACATCAGCACTGCCAGCCAGCTAATCCATTTCAGCACCTTTAAAATGTGCCACATAACAATGGAGAACAGCATTAATGTGAGCATCAGGAGTTTGAAAGAGAACTGCTCGCTCCTCAGGTTGCCATTGTTTGGAATTTTGGCCATGCTTAATATGAGCATCCACCATTGCAACATCATATACACTCACCAGCTAATGCATTAGTCAGTAAACCTATTACTGGCTATTCTTCAACTGCTCATTAGTGCAAATAATAATGAGCCAATCACATGGCATCAACTCAGTGCATTTAGGCGTGTAGGCATGTACAAGAGAACCTGCTGAATGGGGAAGGAAGATGATTTAAGTGGCTCTGAACATGTGTAGGGTTCACAAAAAGTGCTCAGAAACAGAAAATAGCCAGTTTGTAGCAGTTTTCTGGAGATAAATGCCTTGATGATGTCATAGGAGAGTGAACAGACTGATACAGATCGGACTACAGAGTAGGGCTGGGCCATATCATACCGTTCACGGTAAACCGGTATAATGTTGGGCAATGATAAGAAAATGAAATATTGCGATAGAATATGGGTAAAACGCGCATGCGCAGTGCCTTTGTTTACATACACACATGGTGGCGACGCAGAATGAGAAGAGCGAAAGTGGATCGTTGAATGAAACGGATGAACCAGAACTGGTTTGTAAAAATGCTGCAAC